TATTTAATAGAGATGAACCCAAATGTAAAAAAATCCAAAAACAACAAGTATATTCCCTTTTACAATAATTCACGCAGTACACACAATAATTCACCAGTGTTGACGTTAAATGACGAAGTAGAATTATTCTACATCAGGAAATTAATGTTTTTAAATAGTAATATTCATCTATGACAAATGGGCAATTACAACAGACGTGTTTGCAACAACATATTAATAAAGTGACATGACAGAGGAAATAATGATCCTGAACGGAAAATCGACCTAAAATACTTATGACGAAAGTTGCTTGGAATGATAATTCGCGGATGTCATTGTTTTGCGATAAGAAAACACGATCCACGTTTTGCCTGTTTCCTGTGGCACGACCGAGCACCTTGCTGTACCCCAGCCCCCACCCCCACTCCAGCAAGATCTATTCCTTCGCCTTCGCAGTCACCGCGTAGCCTCACAAAGCCGCGGTCGGGGCCCCGCGGGAACGTAGCAACTTATCACCCGCGTGGCATAGCCCGCAGCGCAGCGTTCGAGCGTTGGGTTTCGCGGAGGCAGAAAAGCGTTTGCGGCGCTGGCCTCATCCGTCGGCACAGCGCCTCGCGGCGCGGGTGCGAAGGACGCTGTGCGCGTGGGCGCGCAGGTATTCCTGACGATGGGGGATGTTTACAACTGCGTCTTGTACCGTGTGGCAATCCGTAATATCGCTCCCACGGAATGACAAGTTATTTATCTGACATTTGTGGAGAAATATTGAAATTCTGAACTATCTGTTGTCAGAACTACATATTAAAACAGTTTTCAGATCAGATTTTAAACTATCAACAATCTTCTATGAACAAATTGATAAAGTTTTACTTTATTTTTAAGTACCCCACCAATCATTCACAATGCAAATATGTCGTCTTGAAAACTTTGTCAGAAACCAGACATTCAACGCTAAAAGTGATCTGGCACTTCTGTTCTTGACAGTCATACAAAACAACTAATGTTTTTTCACGCAATACAACTAATGTAACTTTTATTTCGGGTTTTTGCAATAGCAGAACACCCCTAATTCCTTATATTTTTTCTGTTCTCTCGTATTCAGAATGATATAGATAATACGGGATTGAGACCGTTCATGTGTGTTTGGCTGTAAATCACCACTACTCGGAGGCGCCAGAATGGTGCTAAATAAGACAACCTTGGCAATGCCACGCATCGCAAGGGCGAGTCAATAGGTCCATTTTTAGAGTCTGGGTATTACAAGCAACAAAAATAGAACGCAGCTCTCTCGTTTTTTATTGTGGTATAGAAAAACAATATTCCATGACAAGAAAAGTAGGAAAGATACATCATCGTAAAATGATCATGCTATGGAATATCGTCGAAGTAACTTTGTAATTCTAGCTGCGCATTATTATGGAAAGAAATTCCACAAAACCCTCGTGTAATTATAAAAGATGTGGACAAATAAGAATTCTCATTGTGGATGAGAATGTATGAGTACCTATTTTTAAGACAGTAAATATGAAGATAATAATATCTCACACGCTCTCTCGAGTGCTTTTAACTAACTTTTGGTTTTGTTCAATGCCTAACAAATCTTTACATTATTTTTGAATTTCATAAAATATATTTTAATCCACGGAACAGAAACAACAAAAAATACCTTTGTTATTCGTAAATATATATTTCCAAGACAAGATACTCAGAGTACAGCACTAAGCCCCTGATGCGCTGTCAACTTTCTAAGTACACAAATACATTTCCAGAATTTCCCACAAATCTTGGAAATAAATTAACGTTCCATTCTCTAATTCCGAGATGAGATTTTTATCAAGAAACACCACAACAAACCACGCAGAATCCTCCATTATCTATCAGTTCCCTTGCAGTATCCACCATCTTGCTTCACGAAGGTGGTCATGGCTTCATGAGATGTACATTAACGAATTTTCCCTTTCTCGCGCTCGCCTCCAGCGCCGATTTGAACGCGGCGATAAGGCGCGCTTGCGCAGAAAGCGACGCGGATGCCAAGTGGCCCAAGGCTGGACGTGAAGTGCTGGAGCCATTGCGGACAAATAAAACGGAGAAGGGTTTAGGCGTCAATATAACTGCTCTTGCTTCTGGTATCTCGTAAATGTTCGTTCAAACCCGAATAGAAATTGTGAATGTGTTAAAATTAAAGCGAAGATTTGTGAGAGGTAATGGTGAAGCAAATTCGATGGAACACCATTATTATTTTTGTAACTATTGGATAGTCGCTCCTGTTTTTTTGCGTAACTGATCGTCAAGAGTATTGTGCACAGTGTTACGTATTACATTTTATTGGGTCAATTATCTCGTTACACAGTATAGTACTGAATATATGAAAGTAGTCATATTAAAAAAACAATCGATAGATTAAAAAATAAACAAGGCAGGACTTGTTGGGTCACTATTTCAATTTTAGTTTTGATGGTAAAAAAAAGTACGCATTAGTCGACGGCACGGGGTTAACAGAATGGTCCAAAAAATTAATATTGGACAAGTTTCCGTCTTAAAAGCCAACACTGCCACGTAATAATGCGGCTATCTTCAGCTTTTGATCAGAATACTTCGATTTTTCTGTACTGGCCGATGACATAAGGTCATTGTTACACCTGCTGCGTGACAAAATGATTATTTTTAACAGTGGTAAGCACATTTCTGAGACCACGACCTCCATTGAAACGGACATTTGCGAATTAATTTTTAAAAAAATTCATTTTTTAAGGCACGAGGTGTAACAATGACCCAATGTCAAAGGCCACTGCAGAAAAATCGAAGTACTCTGATCAAAATCTGAAGATAGCCGCATTACTACGAGGCAGTGTTGGGTTGGCTACGTGGCAAAGTTGTCCAAGTTATTTTTTTTAGACGATAGTGTTAACTCAGTGCCGTCGACTAATGCGTACAGTAGAACTACCAATGTCATTGATGACTAGTGGCAGAATCGGTTAATTCGCGTCTCGCGTCAGGCAGCGCGTCCCGTTGCGGCGGCGCGTGGGAGCGGCGGCGGGGCCCTGGCAGTGGCCGCGGCCGAGGCCTCCCGAAGACGCGCCCAGCGTCGCTGATGACGGCGCGGCCGCCCTTGGCCGTGGGCGCTGGCGTCGGCGTCGTGACGGACCTTCCGCTGTGTTTACGGGCGCCCCGCCGCGCGACGCCGTCGATTATATCCGACGATCGCCCGGGCCGAAGCCTCGAAGCTGCTGATAGTGATGAGTCGTCGCCTTTCGCGCGAAATCGGCCGATGAATTGACGAATAAAGTACGCACAGTCAGTGGGGACCGGGAGGGGTGAAAGACCCGGTAACTAGTTGGTGGTCGGTATGCTTTTGCGAAATGTTCTGGGGATGGAACTGATGTAGGACATCGGCTTCTCCTAGAATTTAATCACGATTTATAACTGGTTGAATTGTGAGGGTAGTAATAAGTTGTATTATATTTGGAATTAGAGGAATATATTCTGGAACATGTTCTAGTACACACAGGTAGCTCAAGAAGCAGTGACACGATCTTTGAAACCAAAATTGTGAAATTTTTTGTTAAAAATACGTATAATATTTTCAAAATAAACGCTTATCTTTTGTAACTTACTTCATGTAAATTGAAACACTATCAAAATTATCTTACAAATTATTCCCCTAATACTTCCGTAGCAACAAATAAGGAACAAAAATTATGCGAAATTTCAAAGAAGAGTGAGTCAGATCCAGAATGCACTTCTGATGACTTCGCTGTTCTAGAAACACTTCAAGAAATTACATCAATATTTTATGCAAACTCCGCCCGAGTATCCCCATGCAAATGAGAATGAAGCGAAGATTATTCAAGTGTCGAATTCGTGGGTTCAACATCAAGGAGCCTCTCCTGCAGGGAACGTCGCGTCGTTAGTCAGCTGGGCAAGGTCCGCCCAAATGCTAGCTCCGTCACGTCACGGCTCGCTTTGCGCCGTGCGCCGGGGCGGTGGCGGTGGCGGGGGA